GCCGGGCAGCCGCGAAGCCACCGTCCCCGAGCTTGGGAGTGAGGAGGGGCTGGGTGCCGATCCTGCCGGTACCACGTGCTGTTTAGAGGAAGGAAAGGTGACTTAGGTGCCTGGCTCCCTGGCTCGGGACGTGGGTGACCCATGGGAGTGTCGCTTTGGTGCACTTTTGAGGGCGCCTCGAGGTGCCCTCCGCGTTATCTAGGGTCCCTCCTAATCTAGGGTCCCTCCCCTCGCCCGAGCCTGGGGTGTGTGGTTCTTTCACCAGAGCCCTCTCGTGGCCAAGTCCACCTCTCGCCGGCTGTCAAGACATCCCTGTGTCTACTGTGTCCCCATTTTACAGATCAGGACAAGCAGCAGGCCCACGGTCCCTCAGCCAGCAGGTGTCAGAGCCGGGATTTGAACTTTGGTTGTCTGGCCACGTCCCAGTCGGGCGCCTTCCCTTCTTCTGAGACTCTCTCGTTAGCACAGCTTTCCTCGGGCGTTTTAACCTAAATGCTTTTATAATGAGTATGTCATAGGGGGTCATGAGATTTGTACCTGAAACCTCAACAAAATTAATTAAATCTTGGGTCTGAAAGCCCATCAAAGCAATTAGAGGTTGCGTATGAATGCTTACCCTGCCCTCCACTGCTGCTTCCTAGGCTGTGCTGCCTCCTCGCCTTATTGGAATAATTGGTGCCAGGATTTTCCCCTTGGTTTGGGGGACCAGAGTACAGTGTCTTTTAATGACTGAAGAGTGCTGATGGGCTTGCATATATCTATATTTTACAATTTTACAATTTTTTTATTGATTTTCGAGAGAGAAGAAGCGGTGGGGAGAGAAACATCAAACATCGATTTGTTGTTCCACTTATCGATGCATTCATTGGTTGATCCTTGTATGTGCCCTGACCAAGCATCGAACTCACAACCTTGGCTTATCCGGATGATGCTCTTACCAACTGAGCTACCCCGTCAGGGCAATGGCCCTGCATGTTAAGGCGTTAGGAACGTGGTCTGTATATTAGATGGGAAGCTGGACTTATTTCTGCGGAGAAGCTTAATTAAACCAAAATCTTTTGCAGGCCTGCGAGCCCTCCGAGGTTCAGCCTCTGGAAGAACCCTGCTCATAGCTGCCCCCTTATTCACCTTCTCTCCCCTCCTCCTGCAGCATGCCCCAGGATTTGTCAGAGGCCCTGAAGGAAGCCACCAAGGAGGTGCACACCCAGGCAGAGAATGCTGAGTTCATGAGGAACTTTCAGAAGGGCCAGGTGACTCGAGAAGGCTTTAAGGTATGTGGCCTGGTGGGACCAGCCCTGGTGGAGGGTGACAGGTGTAGGTGTCATACCCAAGTGGTTCAGTGAGGACTGGGGCCAGGGATGCTGAGGGAGCAGATGGGAATGTCTGAGAGAATCATTTTATAGATGATGACATTGAGGCTCAGAGAGGGGAGGTGACTTACCCAAGGTCACACAGCAAATTCGTAGGTGCCATCAACTGAGCAACTATTCCAAGCTGTGCGCTTTACACACTTGGTATCTGGTGCCTCAATCCTGAAAAGGAACATGAGATAGGGAAGGCTCAAAGAGGGTAGGTAACTAACAAGGTCGCACAGCCAGTGAGTAAATGGGGAAGGCCGTAGTCAAGCCAAGGCTGGTCTCATTTCAGAGCTTATGCGCCTGACTTAATTCTGATCTGCCTCTGAGGGCAAGGGGGAGTAGGGGTTCCAGCCCCAGCTCAATCATTTCTTAACAGTAAGATGGTGGACACTTCCTCTGGCCTCCCTAAGGCAACTTTCCTTCGCCTGTGAAGTGAGATTTTCACAGCAGGCTTTTCTTAAGCACTCCCTTTAAGCTAGACACTGACTTTGCTCTTTCCCAGCATGGTTGTGAAATTCATGCAAATAGAAGGGAAGCACTTGACAAAGAACCAGACAAGTGCCTAGTGTTAAAAAAAATCAGCACGAGGGAGGGCTAGTGCAGGCTGGACAGGGGGGGCGGGGAGCCTTATCCTGCCACTCCTGACACCCCTCCCTTTTGCAATCTGGGCCTACCCCACTTCCAGCCTGAGAGGTGCTCCAGGTGGTGGGTTCAGAGTGGGCCTCTAGGAGGTAGAATGGGCCCCTGCAGCCAGTCACCGGGACTTCAAAGGCCAGAGGCACCTGTGTGTCTCTTGTTAGCATTTTCACTTGGGCATTCCCTTGCTCCAGAGCCATGTTGGCTTCCTGGGAACGCCTGGGCTTGACTCCAGTTTCATTTCTTACTAGTTGCGGAACCTCAACATCTCACACCCTTTCTGAGCCTTAGTTTGCTTTTCTGTACAATGGGGATAGCAACTCTGGTGGGTTTTTATGAGGATTAGGTTAGCCATGTGTTTACCCAGTGGTGTTGAAGGACTTTAGCTCAGAAAGTGTAGTCAAGTTTTTCTCGTGTGACGCCCTCTGGCCGCTGTGTGGGGAGGGTTGGAGGGGCTGGCAGGAGGTGGGAGCCCAGCCTGGGGGGGGATGAGGGCTGCTGTGAAGGCAGCAGCGAAGGCTGGATGGGGGTTCTTCAGTGAGGCTGCAGCCTGACCTGCTCGCTCTGGTGTTTTCAGCTGGTGATGGCCTCCCTGTTCCACATCTACAAGGCCCTGGAGGAAGAGATTGAGCGCAACAAGGAGAACCCAGTCTATGCCCCGGTGTATTTCCCTGAAGAGCTGCACCGCAGGGCTGCCCTGGAGCAGGACTTGACCTTCTGGTACGGGCCCCGCTGGCAGGAGGTCATCCCCTACACCCAGGCCACCCGGCGCTATGTGCAGCAACTCCAAGAGGTGGGGCGCAGGGAGCCTGAGCTGCTGGTGGCCCACGCCTACACCCGCTACCTGGGGGACCTGTCTGGGGGTCAGGTCCTCAAGAAGATTGCGCAGAAGGCCTTGGACCTGCCTAGCTCCGGCGAGGGCCTGGCCTTCTTCACCTTCCCCAACATTGCCAGTGCCACCAAGTTCAAGCAGCTGTACCGTTCCCGCATGAACACTCTGGAGATGACCCCTGAGGTCAGGCAGAAGGTCATCGAAGAGGCCAAGACCTCGTTCCTGCTCAACATTCAGGTGAGGGTCGGCAGCCCAGGGTAGCCACCGCCTC